CGGCGGAACACGGACATGCGGCCGCCGCTTTGCTCTGCTCCCCCTCCCCCTGGTCTGTAGACCAGGGGGAGGGGGTGCAGAGCGGAGCACGCGGCCAGCTGACAGCCCAGACGCAGGGGGAGCGGCGGAACACGCGGCCAGCTGACATGCGGCCGCCGCTTTGCTCTGCTCTGGTCTGCTCCCCCTCCCCCTGGTCTGGATCCCCTAGTCGGATCCGCGTAACTCGGGGACTGCCTGTACTGCCATTTTACATGTAAATTTGAACTCAGAACTCCTGAGTGAATACCATCTAATCCTGATGATTCTTTACTGTTCAATTTTTTCAGTTTTTTCCAAAACCTCCTGTTTTGAAATTTCAATCTAAGATAGTTCCTCAGGTTTGTCACCTAAAAAGAATGACTCAGGTATGGGAATCTCCCTCACATCCTCTTCAGGAAGGCCATTGCCAAGAATTAATTTAGCTTCTTTGCAATGGTCTTTTCTTCCTTGAGTATTACTTTAGTCCCTTTCTCTTCTATTAGCCCCAATGATTGTTTGGCAGGCTTCCTGGTCGGATGTACTCAAATATTTTGCTTTTAGTTTTTTGTCTTTTTGCTATTTGGTCTTCAAATTCTTTTTTCACTTGTCTTGTTATACTTACACATTTGACCTGCCCAAATTTATGCTCTTTTCTATTTTACTCAGGATGATTCGACTTCCAGTATTTAAAGTGTGTACTTTTGCTTCCAACCACCTCTTTTACTCTGTTTGGGTATGTCTACACTACAGCGCTAATTAGAACTAACTTAGTTCGAATTAGTTAATTCGAACTAAGCTAATTCGAACTAACGCAGCTAGAACTAAAAACTAGTTCGAATTAGTGTTTTGCTAATTCGAACTAGCGCGTCCACATTAAGTGGACCCTGAAGCGGGATTAAGGATGGCCAGAAGCAGTGCCAGCAGGGCATCAGAGGAGGACTTAGAGCGTGGAGATGCTTTCTCAGGCTAGCCGAGGGCTGTGCTTAAAGGGTCCCGACCCCCACCCCGGACAGACAGTTCTCAGGGGTGCCCCGCTTGCAAAGCAGTCCTGGCTTGGAGTGCCCTGAGTGCCCACACTGGTCACATCACAGCACTCGGCCATCAGCCC